CAGATTCCACACGCACACACACACACACACACACACACACACTCTCACACACACGGCGTTGTGACGTCACAGCAACTCCTTGAACTCTGAGCTTCTGTTTCCAGAAACATTTTTAATCTGATGTTGATAAAAGCAAACTGACCCAGAAGCTGTTGTCACGGCAACATGACAAGAAGTCATGGAGTGCTCCAGATGTTTGGATGTGTCGGTCTTTTTGTGGTCCAGATGTTGTTGTACAGAGTCCTATTGTGATCCAGATGTTGGAGGACATGTGTACCACATGACGACTCATGTTGTGGTCCAGATGTTTCAGTCTATAGCTATGGAGTGGTCCAGATGTTTGAGATCATTCTGTGGTGCAGATGTTGCAGTGAACAGTCACAATGCTCCAGATGTTTGCTTTTTTTATGCAGCAGTGTGTTCCAGATGTTGGATGAATAGTGGTCCAGGTGTTTCTGTCTCCAGTTATGGTCCAGATGTTGCTGTGCAGTGCAGAGTCATGTTGTGATCCAGATGTTTCTTTGGACAGTCGCTATGGTCCAGATGTGTTTACATCCTGTTGTCAGGTTGGGATCACCGAGCGGTCCAGATGTTTCTGTGGACACACACCATGTTGCAGATGCTTTTGTACTCAGTCACATTATTGTCCAGATGTTGCTATGTAGACATGTTGTGGTGCAGATGTTGATGGACACATGGCCCAGCGTTATGCAGATGTTGGTTCTGACGAGAGCAATCCAGATGTTTCAGGTTACAGTCATATTGTTGTCCAGATGTTTCTGTGCTAAGAGGGCGGTACGGATGTTTCAGTGAACAGTCTTTTTGTGGTCCAGATGTTGAACATACATTTATGTGGACAGTCACAGAGCAGTCCAGATGTTGTTATGTAGACATGTTGTGGTCCACATGTTGATGGACACATGGTCCAGCGTTGTGCAGATGTTGGTTCTGACGAGAGCAGTCCAGATGTTTCGGGTCAAAGTGTGGCTCTAACCAGTGTTGTCCAGATGTTGTTGTATAGAGTCATGTTGTGGTCCAGATGTTTTCTTATACAGTCACAGAGCAGTCCAGATGTTTAAGGTCAAAGTGCCTAACCTGTGTAACCTGTGTAGTCCAGATGTTGGTGGACGTTCAGTACTTGGACAGTCACAGTGTGGTCCAGATGTTTGTTTTGACGGGGGACAGAGTGGTCCAGATGTTTCAGTCTATAGTTATAGCGTGGTCCAGATGTTCCTGCACATTATGGTCCAGATGTTGGATGTGCAGTGGCCCAGGTGTTTCTGCCATGTTGTGATCCAGCTGTTTTTGTGGATAGTCACTGCGGTCCAGATGTTTGTGTAGACACTCTGAGTTGTCTTCAGAACCACAGTGACGTTGGGGTCCAGATGTTTGAGCTGCTGTTTGTGTGAGCACATCGGATCTTCAGGAGCCAATCAGACGGCTGATTTAACGTCACATGACACCTGATGAAACAACAACCACAACAACAACAACAACAACAGCAATGGCAGCACGTATCTGTCAGGGTGTCGACGAGGCCACAAACAGAAGAAACAGAAGCTGACCTGCTGTGTGTGTGTGTGTCAGTGTGTGTGTGTGTGTGTGTGTGTGTTTGTACAGCTGGGGGCAGCAGACAGGCAGAGAGGATTGTGGGAAGGCGTCTGTCTCAGTGATTTCACAGCCGAGTGGTTTGGGAGAAAGGAGGACGGACAGAGGACTAACAGAGATCACAGCTGTCACATCTCATCACACACACACTGACAGACACGCACACACACACACACACACACACACACACACACACACACACACNACACACACACACACACACACACACACACACACACACACACACACACCATCAGAACAATCAGCAGGTCCATATTGATCAGTTTTGACTCTATCGGCTGAGTGACGATCAAATGGTTTAATATCTGAACTTAAAGTCTCTTGTGGAGCTTTAACGGTCTTCATCAGTGAACATTATTGTGTTCTTGTGTTCTTCTTGTAGCTGCAGTTTGTGTTCTGTGGTTCTGTTTATGCAGCAGAACTGTGATAACTCCAAAGCAACCACTATTGAATAACTTTATTTGTACAAAGTTCTGTACAGTGAAGGTTAAACATAATAAATAATCTGTAAATATCAGTTTACAGCCACGTCTGTCTGGTTCCAAATGATAAATACGTCAGGATGGATAATTTAGCTGCAGGATGTGATGGTCTGTAAATACTGATACAGACGTTACTTACAGGATTCCAGGTGTTTGCAGGTGTTATTCGGTCTTCAGTTACGCCGTGTTGCTGTCGCACTAGAAAAAGAATAAAACATGAAAAGTTTGTTTCTTTTTAAGCTCGTTACGTCACAACGTTGTCACTTCATACTTTCTGATTATGACCACGTGCTGGGGGTGATTTGTCGTTATTTAATTGTTGTGAATAATCCAACAGATTAAACTTATATTAGCAAAACACAAACGTCATGCGTGTCACAAACTATACAGTAGAGGAGCTGTAGTACCTGTTTGTTCCACCAGGTGGAGCCTCTGGCTGTTTAATGTGACGGAGGGCTACGGGCACCATGACAACGACTGAGCTTATATTCAAAAGACTAACGAAACGTGTAGTTTTACTATTTATTACTATTTTAAAAATACATATTTTTGATGTAGATGACGTTTAAGGTTTTGGCCTGTTTTTACAGTTAACAACGATTTACAGTTTTTTAATCTTTAAAATATGTATTTTTTCTAAATCACAACAAATGCCTATAAAATATATATAGATATATATCTATTTTTATTTAATTATAGTTTTAAAAATTATGAGTTCATCTTCAAACATGACAAAACTACAAATTACTCTTTATGAAAATACAGATTTTTAATGTGGACATTAGTGGAACCGTTTGTTCTGTTATTATTGTTTAACAAAAGTGAAATAAAAATAAATTGTATCAAAATGTAGAATTTTTACAGTGCACCACTAGACTTCATTTGTCTTAACAATTAATTGATTATTGATTAATAAAGCATCTATCTGTTAGTTAGAACGTGATAACTTCTGTTCTAATGGTGCTGAGTTCAGATAAATTCAGGAGAATTGATCGTTTACAGGATTTGATGAAGTTCTTCTTCTTCTGGGCTCAGATTCTGCTCGTATTGATCACGATGGACGATTTATTGATAAGTAACGTCTCCATGGAGCACATGTTTCAGAATAACGTGTCAATAAACTGCAGAAGCTCTGAGATGACTAACAACGTGACGAGGATCTGCTGACGTGACAAATGAACCTTTAACCTGAAAGAGCTTCGTCCTCACCTGCTCAGGTGATGCGTCTCCTCGTTGCTTTAATGCTTTCCTGCCTGTAAGGCCTCATTACCTCGCAGATATTTCTGCTCCTTCACCGATCCACAGAGCAAAACCTGCAGACCTTTTAACTGATGACCCAGTTTCATGTAGTCACATCTAAATAAACTGAGTAAACACCAACGTTTGGGCTGTTGTTGTGATGAGATTCAGCTGCTGCCTCGTTCAAAGACGACATAACTGAAAATACATCGAAAATATTTAAGAAAAATGTAAAAAATGAGCTCTAGCTAACAGGATTTCAGCATCACTGCACATGTTTATGGCATAAAAATATAAAGCTATAAAGTAAAACAGAAGTCGAGGAACGTCTAGTATTTGTCAAAATATGTAAATTTTGAAGCTAACAGTAATTTTAAGATAAGCTGCTTTGTGTAGCACTTATCAAAACCTGCACTACAGAGCGCTTACAGTCGCGTAGATAAGTAATAAAAATTAAAATCTGTCAAAAAAGATCAAACACGAAGGACACAACAATAAACAGCGGGTTAAAATAAAGTTTAAAAGTGTAACGCCAACAATAAAACAATGTTAGCTGTTCTCTTGTCCGTGGATGTCGACGATGTTTACAGTTAAATTGGACTAAAAGTTAAAATTATGCCAACAAATGTTCATTTATCAGCCAGAAGCTCAGTAGTAATATTAATAATTATTATTTAAGCAACAGAAAAGATCAACTTTGCAGGTTTCAGTTTAAAAAAAACAGCTGATGTGATTTCGTCAGATTTTAAAGTGAAGCGCAAACATGTCTTGATTTTGTTTTCAAAAGTCGGACCATCTCCGTTTTTTGTTTTTATTGAGTTTGTACGTGCTGCTGTTTTAAATGATTTGGAGAAACAGTTCAGTCTGATCCACCTCTGGTTGTTGTGTCGCACTGCCCCCCTGTGGTCAGAGAGCAGCGTTACACTGACATCTAACGTGGAGGCCAAATAGAAAAACTACAGAACAGACTGCCTGCTGGTGGTTTCTGAGTGTATAGAGGAAGTATCCAGTGATCTGTTAACAGATCAGTTATTTTAAAATGTCCAAACATATTCAGTTTACCGTCACCAGAAACCAAAAAATCTTCACATTTAGGAAGCTGCAATTAGAGAATTTTAGACTTTTTTTTCTTTTAAACAGAACACTCATATTGAATAATGGATTGTTGAAATAATTGGCGGCCAGTTAAATAATTGACAACTAATTGATTGATTGTTGCAGGAGATGGTACCAGAGAGTCTGTTGGATCCATGTTTACCGTCAGTGTGTCTGATTGGAGAACGTACAGAAGGGCTTCCTCCATATTTGGTGTTTCAGGATATTTGATGAATTGTTGTCAGTTTCCCAGCAGAAGTACTCAGAAACTTTTCAGCTTATGTGTTTGCAACAGGACTTTGTTTGGTTTCCCTCAAGGAAACAGAAATGTGTATGAATGGTGGAAGAACTAGCAGGGGAGGTTCAACTTAAGGTGTTACTGATGGTGAAGCTCGCTCGAGATGGATGACTTAAGATACAAACGGTGGTGAAACTGCCAGGGGAGGATTGACTATAACAATCTGAGGAAGACTGACTCAAGGTGTGAATGGTGTGAAAACAGCAGGTGGGGTGATGACTGGATGTGGTAATGGTGATGAATCTGCCTGGGGAAGGATGGCTCAAGATGTGACTGGTGGTCAAACTCTTGGAGAGGGAGGAACTGATGTGTCAGTGGTGGTGAAACTTCCTGGGGAGGTGTGACTTAAGATGTCAGTAAAAATGAAACTGTCTAATTGTATCAATGTGGTAAAACCGCCATGTGGGGAAGGATTAAAGGTGGTAATTGTGGTAGAGCTGCCCGGGGAGGAAGCTCAGGACTTAATTATTACCAGCCTGTGGAAACCTTGCTTCTTAAGTTCTAACAGTGCCGTTTTTTGGTTCTGCAGGGTGCTCCAGGTTCTCTGGGTCCACAGGGTCCTCAGGGGCCACCAGGCTTCCCGGGCCCTCAGGGGCCTCCTGGGGAGAAGGGTCAACGAGGGGACGAGGGGCCGACAGGAGCCCCGGGACTGAAAGGTGACGTGGTGAGTAAACATGGTTCTGTTCATGTCAGAGGTTTATTATTTTCATTGGTAAACAATAAGTGTTCACTGGTTGCTCTGACCAATCACAGGCCTCAGAGATGTCACATGGCTTCTAACCTGACACCTGGTTGTATTTATGAGGAAGGAAGTTTAACAGTTTAACGTTCTGCTCGTTTGTTTTAGGGAATCGTTGGCGTTGGTGGTTTTCCAGGATTAGAGGGCGTTCCGGTAAGAAGCTCCGCCTCCGTCAACGCCTCCGCTGTCTGATTGGTCCAGCTGTAGTCACAGTCGCCATCTGTTTGTGTTCAGGGTCACCCAGGACCTGCTGGAGGTCCCGGTTTTCCAGGTCTGGATGGATGTAACGGAACCAGAGGAGACGGAGGAGAGACTGGACTACCTGGAGAACAAGGACTTGCTGGAGAACAGGTGATGTGTCATCACTTTTACCTACCAGAGGACAGTTTGGTTTGTAGATCAGTCGCTCCTTAAATCACCATCAGATAGTCCTGTACGAGCGCCTCTTGGCTGGCAGCGCTGACTACCAGTGTATGAGCAGTACACTGTGTACTGCAGTATATATAGTGTACGATTACGTCATCACCATGGTAACTGTGTATAACTCTGCAGGGTTTTCAAGGACTCAAGGGATTTCCAGGAGATCCATCCGTCTACTTTATACAGTTCCCTGGAGTAACCGTAAGTACACCCATACTCCAAGTACTCCTGTAATACATTTGGATCTGTACTGTCTCTATGCTTGTGCTGTAGGCACTCCGGTACTGCAGTAGGTACACCTGTACTATATACACCTCTACTTCAGGTGTACCTGTACTTGTTTACACCTGTACTATAGTTACACCTGTACTGCAGCGGGTGAAGATTGTAGTTTTGGTAACTCGTAACACTAATCGAGGCGTTTCTGTCTGACAGGGAGACGTCGGGTCCAGTGGACTTCCCGGCCTGCCGGTACGTAAACAAACAAACAAAGCAAACAACAACATGTGAACATGAACAAGGAACATTCCTGTCTGTCTGCAGGGTGAACCGGGCCCCCCCGGCCTGATCGGAGCTCCGGGTCCTACAGGACTGGACGGGACCAACGTGAGTCACAACAAACCAGAAACACTGATTGGTTGAATGTGGGTCTCCAGCTGTGAACAGCTGATCTGTATTCCAGATGTTTTCAGACTGAAGGAGGCTCAGAACGCTTTGGTTCTTTACGATTCCTGTTGTTTTGATTTGTGTGGGTGACATCGTCTCTCTGTGCAGGGAACCCCTGGTCGGCCTGGTTCTAGAGGTCCACCTGTAAGTACTAGATACAGACACAGTGTTCTTACTGGACCCTTATTGGACACCAGCTTTCTAGTTTGCATTAAAAAAGTGAATCCACTACAGAACCATCGGCTGATCGATTATTGATTAAAAATCGGTGTTGCTGTTCTCACAGCTGCTGTTTGTGTGTTTCAGGGAGAAAAAGGTCGATCTCTGCCTGGACAGAAAGGAGACGAGGTACAAACACTCACCTGTCCTTTGCAGTGACACGTGTCCGACTGGCCACGCCTCATCTGTGACATCATCAAGGGGGCGTGGCAAGAAAGACACGACCACAGTTTTGGACCAGCAGTAGTACTGCAGCGCTGTTTGTGTTCCACAGGGGGACCAGGGTCTTCAGGGGCCTCCGGGGCCGTTCGAGTACGTCGACCCTCCAGAAGACCTGTACATCAAAGGAGAACAGGTGGGCGGGGCTTCAGTGTGTTACAGCCAATCAAATTACAGCTTTGTTCAACCTGCGTTGTTGTGGTTCCAGTGTTACATCCCATGGGCGCTAATGTAGGGTTCTGTTTGGTTTTCCAGGGCCCACGAGGGATTAAAGGACTCTGTGGAATTCAGGGATTGCCGGTAAGTTTAGATATCTGACCAAACCTGGAGAACACCAAGTTCTCCTGAAGACCAGGTTCTCCTGATTATCATGAGCATTGTGTATTTTATGTTTGTTCTTGAGATGATCACACGTTTGAAGAACATTGGGCTGCTGTGGAACAACCTCAGGTTTTCCAGAACCGGTGGGGGGTCATAAGTGCTGCTCCACTGTAACTTGTCTGTCAAGAATGTTACTGAATACATGTTGATTACAGGGATGTACAGAAGGTGGAGGTGATGAGGTTCTCTAATGTGGTTCCAGGGTTTGGATGCACTACCGGGAATCAAAGGAGAGATGGGGATCGTGGGGTTTCCTGGACCCAGGGTGAATCATCATCACTTTTCATGTTACTGATCAGTTCTGGTAAAAGCTGTGGTTTCGAGGTTTCTGATCAGTCTGATGTGAGCAGCTATTGTGATTGTATTTCAGGGGTTCTCTGGAGAACCTGGTGTGACCGGAGATAAAGGATTCAAGGTGAGTCAACACACAGGCTTCCAGTTTGTTGATGCAGTTCTGATCTGTTGTTCCTCAGAGGTTCAGATCTGTCATTCCTCAGAGGGTCAGATTTGGTTCCTCAGAGGATCAGGTCCAGTTACTCAGAGGTTCTGATCTGATGTTGCTCAGAGGGTCAGGTCTGTTGTTCCTCAGAGGTTCTAATCTGTTGTTCCTCACAGAGTCAGATCTGGTTTCTCAGTGGTACTGGTCTGTTACTCTTAGAGATTCTGGGCTTTTTTTCCTTAGAACTTCAGGTCTTGCTCTTCCTCAGAGGTTCTGGTCTAGTTCTTCAGAGGTTCTAGTGGGTTTTTCTTCAAAGACTCTGGTCCGGTTCCTTGTTAGTGATTTAACCAGGTGGGTTTTTTTTGTGTTCTCAGGGCATACGAGGAAGTCCGGGTCTCCCAGGTCTGATTGGACGAGAAGGTCCGAAGGTCAGTGTGGTTCTGGTTGTCCATCTTATTTTAGGCCACTTTGGAGAAGCAGCTGTGACACAAACATGGAGAACTTTTTAATGATACTAATCGAATCAAGTTATGTCTTTGTTCTCTCTGTCACTGGTCGGTCTCCTCCCAGGGCATGATGGGAGATCAAGGTCCTAAAGGCCTCCCTCAGCACGCAGACATCACTCACAAGGGTACAAATCAATACACCGATCAATCAGTTAATTGATTGCCACATTCTGTCCCGTTTTGCTTACTGTGATACTCTTTCTCTCAGGAACCCTCGGAGACCCCGGGGCCCTTGGACAGAGTGGCCCTCCAGGAGACATCGGACTGATGGGAACACACGGACCTCCAGGAACCCCCGGCAGATCAATACCTGGTCAATACTTTGCCAATCCCTTATTTCTGATCACTTGTCACATGTCAGATAGAAGCGTGTTGAGGTTCATTTAAAGCAGCATGTGGATGTTGTGGTCAGATTAAAGGTAGTATGACGGTGCTGTGGTTAGATTTAAGGAAGTATGAGGTTGATTTAAGGAAGTATGTGGCTGCTGTGGTCATATTTATAGGGTATGTGGTGGCAGTGTTCAGATTTAAGGTGGTATGAGAGAAATTTTAGCCAGCTTTATGGTGGAGGTGTCAAATTTAAGGGGGTATGAGGGCAACACAGTATGACTGTCTTGTCTTATACATATTTAAGGTAGTATGAGGGTGCTAATGTCAGATTTAAGGCAGTAGGAGAGTGATGTGGCAAGGTTTAAGGTGGTGTGAGGGTGTTTAAAGCCAGTATGAGGGAAATACGGTCAGATTTAAAAGGGTAATAGGTTACTGTAGGGTAGTGTAATGTGTAGTGGTTAGATTTAAGGTGGTATGAAGGTGTTTAAAGTCAGTATGAGGTTGATGAGGTCAGATTTAGGATTGTATTAGGGTTCATGCCTCTAGCTCAGATTTAAGGAGGTATAAGGTTGTTGTTTCCTACTCCGATTGAAGGCAGTAAAGGGTAAAGGGTTTATGTCTTCTCCTTAGATTTAAGGCAGTATGACAACTCTCGGTTCTTTTCAGGACCGGCAGGTGTTCTGGGTCAGACAGGAGTACCCGGATCCAAAGGGGACAAAGGAGATCCAGGTCAGATGTTTAAAGACGAAGTCTCACCTGGAGAACCTGGCAAACTAGGACAACCTGGACTCAGGGGCCTTAAAGGAGAGCCGGGTATTCCAGGTACCTGAGATCAGTGTTTCCACCTGTAAGTGTTGTTCAGCAACGATCACTTCCAGCTGTTGTCCCACTGATTTCCTGGTTTTCTCTACAGGTAGTTACTGTCTTCCTGGAGTCCCAGGACAGACTGGAGACCCAGGTCTACTGGGAGCCCCGGGGGTCCAAGGATTCCCAGGGTTTAAAGGTCAGCATCTGGACATACTGACTGATATTTTGACCGAATACATACTTTGAGGACTAATTTAAAGCAGTTGAAAGACTTCATGAACTGCTCATGAACATGTAGGATAATTTGTGATATTCAGAAGGAAGTTTTTACCAGTATTTAAACATGAGGAAACATGCAAGAACATAAACGTTTGTATACTATAAAGCAGGTTAAATAGAAACAACGGAGGCTCCAGGACGTGTCCCTGAGGAACTCCACATTAGCGCTTTCACATTTTTAAATTTACCTTTGTGTTTCAGGTAGCAGTGGTGACTGTTCCTGTGGCCCCCCAGTGGTACTGAGGGGTGCCCCAGGCCCTATGGGTAACTTGGGGTCTCCGGGGTTCCCAGGGATCCCAGGGGTCCCAGGCCCGAGAGGAGAGAAAGGTTTACCTGGAGACAGAGGAGAGAGCGGTGAACAGGTGAGCTACCGAACAACAACATGAGAGGTAGCCTGAGCAACCCAGAGCTCACTGTTCTGTTTGTTTGTTTGTTTGCTTGTTTGTTTGTTTGTAGGGTCCAGGTGGGTTTCCAGGTGTGAAAGGGTTTAAAGGGCAGAAGGGAGATTTCACTGTGGTGGATTTTAAAGGTGAGTTTATCGTCCTTCACAGTTTGTTCAAGTTTATTCCTTGAATTTTAATTTTTGACTCATTTAATTTTGTTGATATTTTTTTAACAACTTGAATTTACATTAAAAGTTTACGTATCACAAAAAAACAATAAAATATTTTTCTTCAAACTGCTGCAAACAGGATTCTAAAGGTGAGTTTATCACCTGTCTCCTCCCTCACAATTTGTTCAAGTTTATTCCATGAATTTTAAGTTTGGACTTTTTAAAATCTGTTTAGAATTCTTTTAACAACTTGAAATTACATTAAAAGTTTACATTTCACCAAAAACAATGTGATTTTTTGCTTTCAAACTGCTGCAAACATTAAGGTCATCATAAATCTGCATCATAATCACCTATAAATACTGAGGATAAACGGTGTCCTGTCAGTGGATAAGTGGTTCTGATTGGACCTTTGTCTCCAGGTGAGAAGGGAAACAGGGGCCAGCCAGGCCCTGCAGGTAGACAAGGATTCTCAGGAAGAAGAGGGCCTGATGGGCTTCCAGGGGCCCTTGGAAACCCCGGCCCCCAGGTCAGTCACACCTGAATCAGCCTGTGCTGTAGACTGGTGAGAAGAGAAACTGTTGTACAAGTTTGGAAATAAGAGACTGAGATGTAAACCAAAGATGGGGGTTTAAGGTTTGGAGGTATTTGTACATGACAAAATACACACCAGTTTTTACACTAAAAAAAAAGAAGGTGAAACAGAAACAACAGAGGCTCTACAGCATTTCCCTGAGGAACTCCATATTAGCGATTTCACATTTAAATCTACCTGTGTATTCTACCGGTTTTTGGAGTTTCATAAATCTGTTTCTTTTCAGGGTGACACTTTCAGCAGCTTTCCTGGAGAAAGAGGCCTCCCAGGATTTTCAGGGCCAAAGGGGTTATTAGGGCCTTCGGGTCCCACTGGAGCTGGTGTAGTCGGAGCAGTCGGAGAACGTGGGGCCCCTGGGGACCCTGGACCTACAGGATTCCCTGGACTTCCGGGGCTGAAGGGCGTTAAAGGTATGCATCACTTGAACCTTTTGCACAGAGATAACCCTCCTGCAGCTGCTCATTCAGACTGAACCAAACAACCCACTGTAGGTACCAGGTCTGTTCAAGGTCCTGTGTTTATCGATGACGTCCCCTCTAACAGTTATTAAAGGACTTTGCAATTTACTCATAGAGCTCTCACCTTGTGTCCAGTAACTCTGAGGTGAGATCAAAAAGCTTAGACACTGCAGCTATAAAATCCAAGACCATCACGACAAGCAGTCTCCTTGCTTGGTGATGCTCTGCTAGCAGTGCTCCTGCAACAGCTGTGAACTTCCCCAGAAGTCCTGTTCTGTAAACATTACAAAGACCATCTGTGAATAGCTGAATCTCCTAAACTGTACCAAAACTACGACACCTCAACTATGGGGAAGTCACAGGGAGTCAAATCGGGTAATTTGTTTTTGGAGAGCGCAATTGTGGTGTTGTGGCCATGTGGTCATGTTGACACGATGCCATCTTGCCATATGTTCAGGTGGTTTGGATGGTCTCCTTCCTGCACTCAGTAGATCTCTAGTTGACTCCTTCTCTGGTTTTGTATACTTTTCTACAAGACTCCCTTTGTCTCTCTTTGTGGTAACTTTGTGTCTTTTTGGTGTCTCTTGGTGGCTGTTTTGCTTCTCTGTAGACATTTGTGTCCTTATGTGGTTGTTCTACATGTCTTTGTGGTCATTTTGTGTCACTCTAGTAAATGTATGACACAAAAAAATTGAAGTGAGCTCACCTACATGACTCCTCCCATCTCCTGTCTGACTCCTCCCATTTTCTGTTGGACTCCTCCCATCTCCTGTTTGACTCCTCCCATCTCCTGCAGGTGACACTCTGCCCTGTGCACCCCGAAACCCCGGAGCCCCAGGACAGAAAGGAGATGCTGGAAGTCCAGGTAAACACCATCTGTAACATCTGTTCACCTGTCTGACGTCCTGGTTACCCGTCTGTCTGATCACCTTCTCACCTGTTTGCTGTGCAGGTTACACAGGCCTCCCAGGTCCTCCAGGTTTTCGGGGCATCACGGGACCAGATGGAACGAAAGGAGACAAAGGACAGAATGGGTTTCCTGGACCACCTGGACGACAAGGTGCCCAAGCATATCTGTCACATTTGTATTACACCTGTCCTTTACCTGAACTCTTACTTCTTTATCTTTACACGTTTCCCTTTGTCATCTTGCAGGACCTCAAGGTTCAGGTGGAGATACGGGAGAAGAAGGACCTGAAGGCTTCAGTTATGGTGGAGAACCAGGTACACTAGCCTGTCCTCACACCATCATCGTCTTATTCTTCATGAATCAGTTGTACTTAAACCAATAACATGATCCTAAATTTCAACCATTACATGTTTCCACAAAAAAAAAAAGGCAGAGTCCAGAACCCTGTTTCTTCCTTTTGGTTTGCTTTCCTTCGTTCTCAGAAACTATTTACGACTCTTCCACTTCAGACCAACATAAACTACTTACAGGTTTGAGGTCAGGTTAAACCAGATTAAAAACTTGCACGATCAGAGTCCTCTACAAATCTTTACATTTTCGGTCAAGTCGGTTGCCACTCAGAGGTGGAAAACCCTGAACACAGTAGCAGAAGGGAAGTATAGGCCCCCCTGAAATGAGGCTTATACCTGCATCAAACATCAGGTGAGAAATAAATCATGTAACTTACTCAGGGGTAAAAGTTCATCCACAGAATTTGAGGTTTGTTTCCACAGGAGGGACTATTTAGCAAATTTGTTCACCGTGTCGAAAATGCAGATAACCTTTAAATGTCATCAAAAATAATGTACATGAATCACCTGTTCAGTTGCAAAATCTCTTGAGCAGCTCCGTCCTAATTATCATCCAGCTTTAAACTAAACAACCTGTGAGCAGTTGGTTGTGTAACAGTGCGTACGACTCACCCTGAGCAGAAACCATCTCCGCAGGACTCCATCTAGATCTGGAAGCAGGGGAGCCAATTCCCTCAAAAACACAATGCGGCTTCTCTCATGTGTAAATGTAAATGTAGAAATGCACTTACAGACTGTGATTTAGAGTAAATCAGTTCTGTCTGTACAGGTTCTCCGGGACTCGCAGGTTCTGCTGGACTCAGAGGACCAGCCGGTGACTCTGATGTTGGGCCCTCAGGAGCCATCGGCTTCCCAGGACCACAAGGCTCTCTGGGACCCAAAGGAGTCCCCGGTCCCCCTGGCAATGACGGACAACCAGGTGGATTACTGGAGATGTTACGCTAAATGTATACTTTTTACAGGCAACAGCAACTAAGTTTTATTACAAACCTTCCAGTTTCAGCCTGTTCATCTTCTTGGAAAAAGAGAAAATAACATTAAAATGCTTGTTACAGCAAGCACAAGGTTGATATCAAAGGTAGAAATCAAGCTCAATACCAAAGTAAGAAGTATCAGAATGTGTTGAAGTCACTGTTTAGAAAATGTATTGAAATTATTTACTGTTTGTTCAGGCATCTTGGGTCTGACCGGGGGCCGTGGAGCGAAGGGCCAGAGAGGAGAGGACGGGGCCCCAGGTGTACCCGGGCAGCCAGGACCCACACCTGATCAGTGTGATGTAGGAAAACCTGGTTTAATGGGTCTCTTTGGCCTTCCAGGACCCATCGGACCCCCAGGTAAACTGTCGTTGACTTTAACTTTTAATTGACTTTTTAATTCCATCTCACAGACTGTGATTCCATCTTTGTCTCTTCAGGTTTTCCAGGGGAAAAAGGTGACATCGGAGCTGAGGGTTCCCCTGGTATAGGCCTCCAAGGCCCTGTTGGTAAACCGGGGTCCCCAGGCTTCCCTGGGTACCCGGGACCCCAGGGCTCTTCAGGCACCAGTGGAGACTCTGGGCTGCCGGGCCCCGATGGTCAGAAAGGTGAGCTGCTCCCACCAACACACCTGCTTTTAAGTGTTTCCTAGAAATGAGGGTTCACTTAAGGACTTGTTTCAGGTCTGATCGGGCCTCAGGGCCTCGATGGACGACCAGGAGCCCCAGGACTGAACGGGGACCCTGGAGCCCCAGGGAGGACCGGGGACAGAGGGCCCAGTGGACAAGATGGACCTCAAGGATGTGAAGGGCCGAAAGGACAGAAAGGTACTGTACACACAGTACCGCATATCAAGATTTTACTTCTACAGTAGTGTGTATTAACTTAGTACTACTACAGTATTTTATATTAACACAGTATCGTGGGCTATTGTAATACTACTACAGTACTGTATATGAACATACAGTATTTCAACATAGTACTGCATAGTACAGAGGATGACACAGGTCTGGATGTTGAATTTCCAGCTGACATCACTTCACCTGTATTTAAACCTTCTTCTGTGTGGCCTCTGCAGGCTGTAAAGGGGACACGGGGCCTCCAGGACTGATCAACTTTGTCCCCGTCAAAGGACCGACGGGACAAAAAGGACCCCCGGGACACGTTGGGTTTCCTGGACCACGAGGTCAGAGCAACATTTGTTACCATAGAGACGAAAACAATGGCTCTGCATGTGACACATATCAAATTTGAAAACCCAACTCTACAGCAAATCAACATAAACCAACCTGCTCTGTTTTATCCGGACGGCAGCAGAAATAAGACCTGAAAAAACAAAACGCTTTCAAAACGCTAAATGTCATCTATCAGTCGCTTTTACTTCCCTGTTGTGCTACATTCCTGCTAATGTTCACATTTTTGCATCAAAATAAGACTTAACATATTCTTCAAATTAAACTCAGAGTGTCTTTGTTGAATTAAATTTACTTGAACATCTACAATTTACAATTTACAGATGTTTCTAAACACCTCACATGAAAGCTAACACAAGCTAAGTGGTTGCGCACAGGGAAGCCTCTAGTCTCCACTCAGTTACTGCAGCAGTTCAGGCAGGTGTGCCACCAAAAACTAGTTTGAAAAAGGTGAAATAAGGCATTCTAAGGCATTGCAGTATTTACCAGGGTCAAAAGAGCCATTGAAAGGGGAAAAAAATCTGTGAGGTATATAAGAAATAAGAAAATCCAAAATCAGGTGGGCTCCAAGGCTACGGCCACTGTTCCACTTCTTGTTAAGTAATTCTTTACTCTGAGCTTTTAATATCAGACACATATTTCTCTACAGGGAATAAAGGTGTGCGAGGAGCGACTGGTAAACCGGGGTATCCAGGCATCAACGGTCCTCCAGGCATTGCAGGACTTCCAGGACCCCCAGGACCATGTGGCAAACCTGGACTACTTGGACCACCTGGACGCAAAGGGCCTCCAGGACTCATTGGCTTCCCTGGACATACTGGACATCCAGTAAGATGAAACTATGAAATGCATGCAGTTTTTAAATCTGGAGATCACTGAGTGGATCGAGATCAGGTTGATAAGTAAATCCTGGTGTGTTGAACTGATTAAAACAGAGCTTGGTTTGCTTCTTAGAGCTTGTAAAGACAGTTAAACCAAAGAACCAGAATTACTGACCTGTTCTTGTTTGTGGTTTCAGGGTGACCCGGGATGTCCAGGGAAAATTGGAAAACCTGGTCACCCTGGATGTGCAGGACCCAAAGGTACCAGCAGATTTATGGTTTTTAACACTTTTTTTGGAGTAGGGTGGGATGCAGGTTGTTAAGTAAAGGATATGTCTCTGTTTCAGGTGACAAAGGAGACTCTACTGTGTGTCCTGGTACACCTGGAGACAGGGGGCCTCCTGGACACTGTGGGCCCTCAGGTAATGATCTGGTTCTGCAGAACTAAAGTAATGAAACAGAAAATGTGTGTACAAATGTGGTCATTTCATTTGGTCTTTCTCAGGACCTCCTGGACCTCAAGGAGATCCCGGAGTACCCGGTTTCATCGGAGGCCCAGGACAGAAAGGATGCAAAGGAGATCCAGGCCTCCGTGGAAACCCAGGTGACCCAGGTATGGAAGTTTACCTGGACAACGTCATGAAACGTATTTATTGTCTGAAATCAACTCCCCCTTATTCAGACTCTGTCGGTGTCCATCAGGTGTGGTGGGTCCTCCAGGTCCCAGAGGTCAGCCCGGTCTGCCAGGTCTGCCCGGGAAGCCAGGAGCTGATGGTCCTCCAGGACCAAAGGGCAACCCAGGACTCCAAGGTAAATGTCGACCTTGTGTTCCTGGTAGAAACATGTGGAAACCGTTGAACACAGAAGTATAGACATCCCGACCTAGTTCCACAAATCGGCATCAAGGTCGATCAAACCATTTTTTAACTGATCGGCTTTAAACTCTTTTGTGTATGTCGACTGTTACACAGACGATGAAGGAGAAAGCACAATTTAGGGAGGCATAATTGAAAATAATTTTCTTAATAGAGTAATGAGGTGCATTACCAATCAATAATTGGCAACATCAATTGAAAACAACAGATATTTGTGCCACTGATAAAGGAGAGCTGTCCTTGTCATGGTGGCCCATCCTCAGGATGCCTCAGTAAGAGGCTCCAGGTACTACAGCAAATCTGCAACACATTTCCTGACTTGCATTCAGAGAATATAAGTTTGCTCTGTCATTTGGAGCTTGTGGAGCCTCTGTACACTCTACGCACTTCACACTACATTTCAGACTTTACAACAAGGTTCCTGAACACCAACAGAACATGAAGGAACAGTTTGGAGGCAAAAATGCAGCTATTTGGTTGTCTGGCATATAAAATGGGCTGATTTTGATAACTGTGTTGTACCTGAAGTGAGTATTATTGAGGGAATTGGTGTCAGATTGAAACTCAATATCAGCAGTAACAAAATATTAAGTGATTCACATCAGATTTGGGACAAAAACCTTGATTGGGACATTCCTAGTCAGAATCACTGTTTTGTTCCCTTCAGCAACTGGAAGCATTAAGTCACCTGACCCCACCCTCCTGTTTGAATCTGCTTTTTACAATAAAAAACTTCAAAGGAGTTGTTCCCTTGTTAGCTGAGTGGTTGCTAAGGTGGGTTTTACTGATAAATGTGATCTAGTGGGGTTAAATAGCAGCTGTGATGCATGAATGCTGTCTATACTTACATACGGTCAGTGGTTGTGTTGCTTTGAAAATCTTACCTGCAAACAATGCCGGAATCCAGATGTATGAGTTGGTTTTTAAAAGTGATTTTGCTGCTCAGGTCCCCCTGGACCACTCGGACTTCACGGACTGGATGGCCTGAAAGGAGTAAAGGGGGACATGGGGACCAGAGGTAAGAGTCTCACAAACATAACATCGAGACATCAAGTAAACTACAGAGGACACTACTTCTATTCATGAACAGCATAAGAGTAGAACCACCTGACATCATGTAGAGTTTAGCAACTTGAGCTTCACCCAACAAGGGCTGCATAGTTAATAGGTTCAGCTTAGACATTGTCAAGCAAAATTGACTAAACTGACTCAAACCTGCAGGTGTGTGTTTTCACCAGGCTTATACCAACTGGTACAAGTTAACTTTGTCTTTGAGGAAGATATTACAAAAACTTAAGATGTTGTCCAAACATAAATCAGGGTCCCACAAACATTGTTTTACAGCAGATTCAAATATGAATAAAGTTAGAAGCAGCCAAACAAATGATCTACTAACTTGTCAAGATGAGGTTAAATCATCATGATGGCATATATTTTCTAAATGTCTGTCTCTTTAGGTCTGGGTGTTCCAGGTCCTCCCGGTTGCAAAGGTCTTCCAGGAGATAAGGGTCCTCCTGGTCCTCCAGGTCCTTGTGGTACTTCCCAGCCTGGACCTCCAGGACCCAAAGGCCCCCAAGGACCTAAAGGTCTGTCCCACTGTGGCTACCAATAATAACAAATTGTGTCAGACACTTTCAGTGATGTCTCTCTGTGCTCTTACAGGACCTCCAGGTGGTTGTGGACCTCCAGGTAAACCTGGACTGTCCTGCAAAGCTCCAGTTCCAGGGACTTGTGGAGATCCTGGTTGTGCTGGCCCAGATGGAGAGCCAGGTCAGACTTTCCCCTTCACCTTAAATTAAGTTTAAAAGACAAGTTGCACTGAATGACATCTGACCTGGGTTTTGTGTTGCAGGGTGTCCTGGTCCTATGGGGGATAAGGGTCCAAATCCTCCAGTTTGTGGGGATGATGGGAACAATGGGGATTCAGGGTGCCTGGGGCCAAAGGGACCGCCAGGGGGTCCAGGTCTTCAAGGACCGCCAGGCACACCTGGAAACGCAGGAGTGAAAGGTCAGACTCTCTTTAGGTATCTGAGGTATTTGTATACAAAGATGTCAACAGAATGCTTCGCTTCACAACCAGGACACAGCTGGACTGCAGGTTTAGTGTGAAGCTCCAGGGGCGGTTGCAGCAACAGGGTTTATGTCAACGTAAGTTGGTGCTTTAAGTCCAAACTGATAGTTCGGCCAGTTGCAGCATCATGGCTTAAGCCTTTTACACGCCAGGAATGGATGTAAACGTATTTCACTCAAAAGTAAGACCGTTTACGCAGCAACAACTTAGACAACACAGCATGTAGTACTCAAGGCAAATGCAAGCCTCATACATCAACTTGACATTAACCTGGTTTTTAGATGGGAGAAAGTTATTAATAAATATGTATGAAGGAATACACAGCCTCACAATTCACAGTAACAGCACAGCTCTCGTTGCTTCTATGAACAACTTCAATCTCTGTAAGGACACCACTCTTGTCCAGGAGTTTCTTGGTAACGCCACTTTCCACGCCGACCTAACCGAACCATGTTGGTGAATTCTACCTAATAACATCAACAGTTAAAATACTCTATCCTGACGTTTTTAGGGGACTACTCCTGCCGGTTTATTGTCACGTCTTTCTAAGACACATCTTTCTTTGCCTCATTAAGAAGTTTTATCCTCTTTTTCCTTCCATCTTTTTCTGATCAATGGCTGCCCGAGTTAGAGCAGTCTGTAACCATATTCCCTACTAAAAATCATTGAACGTTGAAATTTAACATTTAAAATAGACTATTTCTGGGTTGTAAAAAATCTTAAATCCATTTTAAGAATTGGATTTTAAGAATTCAGTTATCCAATATAGACTCTCAGGTTCCTTAAACTCAACTCAGTCAAACAGTTTTGTTGTTGTTTTTTATGGTCTCCGTCCAGGTTCTTGTTTGTCAGGACCTGTCGTAATGGACAGTTTCTTAGTTACAGGTAATAAAGTATTTGTGTTCATGTGCTCAGGTATGTTTGGGGATCCAGGTTTCATGGGAGTGCCTGGTGATCGGGGTTGTAAAGGAGGTCCCGGTTGCAGTGGGCCTTCAGGACCAAAGGGACCACTCGGTCCGCCAGGTCCGAAGGGGGAAAAGGGACGAGTCTCTCTCTGCCCCACATATCCCCCTCCCCCACAGGGACCCCCGGGTCCACCCGGATGCCCCGGTCAGGTCGGAGATCCCGGTCTGCCGGGAGAAATTGGCCGGAACGGGTCTAAAGGTGATTGTAGTCAAGTCAAAGTAAAATCCAGAAGCAGTAATTCACCAGCTTCATAAGGGGAAGCAGATGAAACTACAGTTTAGTCTCAGTCAAGCTGATTGTTATGATGGTTGTGTTTCAGGTAAGAAGGGGGGTCCTGGATCTGAGGGACTCATAGGCTCCGTTGGGCCCCCAGGTCCAGATGGAAAGAAAGGAGACCCAGGCCTACAAGGGGAGAAGGGAATTAAGGGAGAGAAAGGTGAGACTTCCACCTGTCTGCCCTTCTCACTATTTTACACCATCTGTTCTGTTAAAGTTGTAAATTAATGTCAAAACAATATTTGCTCAGGTCTGAAGACTGTCAGTGATCTAGATCAGGATGTGTCTGATCCACTTTAGCTGCAGTGTTGTCCACAGCATGACAAGATGTGCAAGGTTACTTTAGGGTTTAGTTTAGATTTATGTGTCAAGTTGTGTAGTACCTGTGTGGACTTGTTTTTACAATGTAATGTCTTTCTGTCATAGGTGATCGTGGTCCGATCGGCGACTACGGTCCTCCTGGACCATCCTCAAACTTGAACGCGGGCTTCCTGTTGGTGATGCACAGCCAATCAAAGAAGGTTCCCAGCTGTCCACTGAACATGAGGGTGCTGTGGGAAGGGTACAGTCTTCTGTACCTGGAGGGGCAGGAGAAGGCTCACACTCAGGACCTTGGTATATACAAATATATAAATACATATACACAAAAGTTTCTGTTCTGTAAAACTAAAAGTTGTGTGTAGAGTTTCGTTTCACAGAAATGTCCGTGCTGCTGTCAACATCCTCATCAAACCTAGCTGACAAAACGGGAGCATAACTGGGAGTTACCCTCGTAATCCCCCAGTGTGTTCTGGATCTGTCCTGGGTCTTCATACCATTTCTACAGAGCCAGCAACATTACCCAACTTGAGATTAGTCTGCCTGGACTGACTCCGTTCAGCTTAAACTGGTTCTTCTGAGGGCTCCATTGCCTCACAACTAGAAGGTTCCTGGTTCACATCCTGCAACCCTTGTGAGGATTAAGCGGTTTATAGATAATGGATGGATGGTTCTTCTGAGCTCCTCCTGTATATCTGACCCAAACATCCTGCAAAAGATGCTCTTCTCAACTGCTTGGATTCTTTCAGGTGCAAACCAAATACCAGGACAAAGGCCTCCAGGATCTGGAGGTGAATCCAGCTTCACCTTTACTATCAGCTGGCTCAGAACCACTACAGTCTGCTCATGTCTCTTCCATTTGATCCTCACTGGTGATCTAATGCCTTGAACTCTTTCACGTCCAGCCGAAAGGAAACAATCTCATCCTGCTTTTTCACACTCCAGGTCCCAGTCTGACACGGCCAATAAAAATAGGACTTCCATTTATCCAGTGTCGAGTCCTGGTGGCAGCTAAAACATAGATCAACTGGTACATCGTTCTGGCTCTGTTCCCTCTTCATTGCAATGGCCTGGTACAATGCCAGAATTACTGCTGATGCCGCACCATTCTGCCTTTGAATCAGTTTCCCCTCAGGGATCAATGCAGTATTTCTGATTCGGATTTTCCTGTCACTTGTAAACAAAATCCCAAGATGCTTCTCTAGGGGTAGCATATTGCTCAGCCTGGAGAACAGCAATGAGCATGTGACAAATAAAAACTCTTGAATCTTAAGTCTTTGATTTGGTCCAGTGTTCCACAGTCTGGAAGGAATCTGCATTGCTCCTCCTCAATCCAAGGTTCAGCAACTGATCCTCCCCTCCAGCACCCTGAAATGAACTTTACCACGTAGGCTGAACGTGGCGATACACCAGTAATTGAAGCATACCCTCCAGTCCTGCTTTATGAAAATGGGAACCACCACCCAGGTCTGCTACTCCACAGGCAGGGTTTTCGACTTCCAGGCAAAACTGAAGCGACGTGTCAGCAAAGACCTGCCAACAGTGTTCAGAGCCTCCAGCATCTCAGTAGCTACGTACCTCAGCAACCTCTGCCATGGATTTGAATTCCACATCATTCCTTCGAAAGATATTCAACAATCAACCAAAGTCTCCTTCCTGTAACCTGATAACTGGACGCTACCATGATTTGTTTCTACTTTTTGTGATTACTTACAATATCCCGTATGTTTCCAGGTCAGGCAGGCTCATGTATGCGCGTCTTCTCCACCATGCCCTTCTCCTCCTGCAACTTGGGAACCTGCTCTTATGCCAGTCGCAACGACAAATCTTACTGGCTGTCGACGATGGCAGCGTTGCCAAACATACCCGTGGACGGGCAATCCATCGAAGACCACATCAGCCGCTGCGTGGTGTGCGAAGCCCCCTCCTCACCCGTCGCACAGCACAGCCAGAGCTCCTACCAGCCACCGTGCCCACGAGGGTGGAGGAGCCTGTGGACTGGATACTCCTTCCTCATGGTGGGTACTGCAGCACCACAGCTGCTGGTGTCATGCAAGTCTACATGTAAGAAATGCTGAGTCCATCTTTCCAAAGACAGAAACCTTTTAGGGGTGTAAACTAGAACTGGGACTTTAACGCGTTCATTTTGATTGATTAATTACAGAAAAAATAGTGAGATAAAAAAATAGTGCATTTAATTGCACTGTCTAGTTCCCTAATTTCGAGCACAGCGGTAACACTGATGCACGCACTCCAGCCGGTAGGTGGCGCTAATGAACCTAAAGTTCATTTGCCAGCCGCGAAGAAGATGCACAGGATGCATTGAGTGACGTCAGTGCACAGGAAAGTTTGGTGAACTGCGATGGAAGACGAGACCGCATTGCTTGCTTTGTTGGGCGAAAAGTTTTTTTTCTTATCAAGGCCTCATTCTACGTGTCCACAGAGGGGGTTTGGCAAAATTTGCTAAATTTGCATTTGCATGAAGTCAGGTCTACTGTATGCAAATGAACTTGCAAAAAATTTGCTTATTGTGTCAAATATTGTTTGCTAAAAATGCAATTAATTGAGATTAATTAACTACAAAGCCTCGAGTTAATTAGATCCATTTTTTTTATAGCGTCCGATCACTAGTGTAAGCATGTTTCTGAAGTACACCCTTTCTTACTTTAACACTGGTAAACATGGAGGACATGATGGTGATGATACCTTTTGGTGTGTCTGTGGCAGCATACAGGTGCAGGCGACGAGGGCGGCGGCCAATCTCTGACATCATCAGGCAGCTGTCTGACGGACTTCAGGGCTCAGCCCTTCGTGGAGTGTCAGGGCCCGCGAGGAACCTGCCACTACTTTGCCAACATCTACAGCTTCTGGCTGACTATCATGGAGGACAGCACCTCTTCCTCCGACCGCTCCGCCACCACAATGACGGACAGCTCGCAGCAGAGGGAGAACATCGGGAGGTGCAACGTCTGCATGATGATGGAATGAGGCAGTGAGGAGGGAGGCGCACCACCTCCTCCTGTAGCAGGAGAGCGGAGGATTAGCACCTCCTCCTCCCTCACGAGGGTGCAAGGAGACACTTCGCCTCCTTCACGAGAGAGCGAGGAGACACTTTGCCTCCTTTTCCTTCATGAGGGATCGAGGAGACACTTTGCCTCCTCCAAGGCGACGGACAGTTTGTCTGTGAGGAGAGACTGTCATGTTACAGATACTGCTGCCAATCAGAAAGTCGACGATCACTCAGTCCTGATAATCAAACACTCACATCACAGCAGCCACTTCAACATATTCGACTGTAATTTCCACTGCACAAAAATCTTTCTCAGAATAAATCTGCTTTCTACATTTATTTTAAATGGCTTCAGGGTTAAAACCAGGTTTCTCAGAGACTAGCACATGTTTAGATTTAACATCGAGCCATTAGTATGCCAAAAAAGTGTAAAGAAAAACTGCACTCTGGCTCGTATTTTAAAACTGAAAAAATTGTTTAAAACCAGTTTTGAAACTGAAGAAGACTGTTGTGCGACAACACCTATACCCATAAACTGCCTAATGTATTTATCGTACTTAAAATAGAGGGTATAGAACATAGATTTTCTTTTAAAAAACAACAACATTTTGACATTTTTTATTATTTTTTTAGGCCCATATTCAGTTTCATTGCTGTAAAGACAGAAATGCGGTTGGAAGATACGTCGATTAATTCCAAAACAACTGTAGCACTTTAAATCTAACTTCCTATTTTACATATTTGTAGTAATAAAGCTGAAAGCAGCATTTTTATGATACAGACTTTCTTTTGGATTAATGAGCAATTTGTTTCACATAGGAACAAACTGTAGACGGCAGGGGGCGCTGCTGCACAGAGTAACATAAACTGAAAGTATAAAGGACCAAGAATTGAACCCTGAGGAACCCCATTAGTCATTATTGACTCTGTAATGTTAAAACCAACCATTTTAAGCAGTTATATGTTGTCAAAAGAGCAAGAATGTGTCATTTTCATTTTATTTGTTAAAATATTCAAGATCAGATTATTTTTATGTTGTGTTTGAGCAATTAAACTGTCAGTTTAATCGTTCCCTCACAGCTCTGAAGATGATGTTATTTATCAGTCTTCCCCAACCTGTTGAACACAGGCGCTGTTCTAACTCTAAATATTATTTATTGGTAATTTTATCCAAACTTATTAACTAAACAGGTCATCCTGTTTTTAAAGTGGTCTGTTATTTGTTTATAACTTGTGATTGGTCAGGTATAATTTGGCGATTCAGTGGTGTTTTTATTTGTTCAGTTAATTTATTATGATTATTACCTAACATCTCCTAATTGTCAATTATAATTAGCTCATTATTCATGACTTAAAAGCAATACTGCCATTAAAATGGAAATTCAATGTTTTCACACTCCATTTTTACATTTTGTGATAGCTGATTGGCTAGCATGACATTCTCTCCTCATCAGAGAACAACGTGGAACCATGCAGACAGATATAGCACAGGAGGTGCAGTACAAAGCCTTGGCGTGATACGTTATAAAGTCGCCGCCATCTTACTCAGGGACACACAGCAGTACTACCAAAGCTGCTACTCATCATTAATGGCACAGTTATGACTGTTGTGTGTGATCAACTGTACTGACAGAATTTAAATAAAGACTACTTAATGCTGCACAATCCATTTTCATACATAATAGTAATATAACAGGTCATACTATGCTGACTAGGTAGCTAGGCTAGGCTAATGTTTACTGCTAAACTTAAAACATACCATAACGCAATATGACACACGGCATTGGACAAGTTTTTCGAAAAGTAAGCTAAGCTAGCAGCTGCTCTACGTTAAATAGAGCTTAGCTTTGCAAGTAGTGCCGCTACTTGTAGCAGTGCAACTGCCGAGTACAGAATATAGCTTGCAACGGTCACTGAGTAGCTAGGCTAGGCTAAGGTTGTTTGTAGCTGAATCTTTAGCCATGCTTCAGACTACATGCACTTAAAACATATAACATTTACAATTACAATTTCATTTTGCAGAAACTTTTATCCAAAGTGACGTACATCTGAGAGTAGATCGTATTCGCATTTGAGACAGCAACAAATTGGAGACCAAAGAGATGACAGACAGACAGACTGATGGTGACAGAGCTGCCATGCTAGGTGTCTGCCATTGGAAGCAACTTCTGGGTTAGTGCCTTGCCCGAGGACACTTTGACTGTGGAGGGTCGGGGGGTCGAACCACCAGCCTTGCGATCAGACGCTTTTATGTTGGGCAAGCTTCAAAGAAAGTGTAGTGAGCTAAGCTAGCAGTCGCTCTACACAAAATAAAAGTTGTGTGAACACGACCTGTAGCACGACTTGATCAATAAAGGAAGTTTGCGACTAAAAAGTTGTTGAGAAAACAGCAGAAATGTGGTTAAATTAGTACCGATGCTCAACACCTACAACTTATTACGCTGCAGCTATGCTAGGCTAACATTTACTACACCTGAGTCAGTGGGTAAGATGTTAACGTGCGTGGGGTAATTTCTAGCTGATGTACATTCCTGGGACCTTTTTTTTTTTTTTTTGGTTCCATGTAGCTGCCTAAAGGCTCAGAGGCCATTTTGATGTCTAGTCCTTGGTAAGATGGCGGCGATACAATGACGTATACAAGTGTAGTTCTGATATATATATGTAAGATCTGAGTGAACTTAAGCCCCGCCTGCAGAACAACCAGAACTGCACTGAGAACAATTCTGATTAGTCAGCAGAAAGCATTCTGGTTGGTCAGCTGCGAGGCAGTGACTGCGTGTCATTGGTCGGTCAGTATTTTGTTAATGTGGGAAAGAATTGCGTGAGAAGCTGTGAATATATTTGAGGTAAAACCTTGAAAAAACATGTTTTTGTTCCAGTTTTCTTTCGGATCAGATGTGTTCGGAGCTCCTCCCTCAGCTCGTGGTTTTTTTTTTGTTTTTGTTTTTAATTATTATTCATGTTTCAACACAGAAACGATTCAGCTCAAGGTTCATTTAACACGAAATAGACGAGTAGTGATGACCAGTGGTAGTCTGAGTCGAGCATTTAACGGGGTGAGCTGCAACACAGAATCAGAACCAGACCAAACCTGGACCAGGACTCCTTCAGAACCAGAAGCTGATGTTTTTATGTTCCACATTCATTTCATGATTCAGTTTTTTACTGTCTTTGTGTTCTCGATAACGTTGACTTGAAAGTTCGTTTGTTGGTAGTTTTATATCAGAGCTGAAGATGTGTCGTCACCGCAAAGTAAACGCTGCTGAACATTTTACTTCCTTTAATTTAGAACAAATATGGAGTGAAATCTTCAGTGGACTTTTAGTTTTTATTTCTGGTTCAGTTTCTCGTCCTGGTTCTTGTTTCGGGTCCTGGTTCTGGTTCCCTATTATTTCTCTGTGATTTGTAAATATGTTCGATGGTTTTATATTTTTACTGTAAATGTCATCAGAGTATTTATTTAGCCTGAAATTAATGTTGGTGCTATTTGATGTTTAATTTGTTTGTTTTTTTAATTTCATTTTGATCGATGACGACGCAGTGAGACCCCGCCCGCATCCTCCACCAGAAACCACTTCATGTGAATTTATTAAAGTTAGAAACTCAAAGTAAACTCAGAACTGATCGTGTCACACGTAGTGGACTTTCTTACATGTTTAGATGTTTTTTCTTTAGATGTTTTTAGAGACACAAGGTTTTGAAACACGAACGTCTCACTATTTAAAGCAAAGATTACATTCAGCTCCCGTGATGCTTCACGAGGAGGACGAGGGAGGTGCCGCTGTGTTGTCATCAGCTTTTATTGTATTTAAATCTGTCGGTGATATTTTAATCTCTGTAGGAGGAAACTTCTCACTAACACTTGTGAAACATTTTACTCTCTGTGAATGGACGACACTTCAATAAATCGCATCAAACTTTTACTCGTCTTTCTTTTAGTTTATGTTCGAAGGCTTGTGAAAAAGCTGTTTGTTCTAAAGGAACCAAATAATTCAGTAAGAAGCCCTTTTAAAACCTGAATTCAGTAAAAAGCCAACAGACAAACCTTTTCTAACGCTGCTCCATTGGTTAATTGTTGAGGAGATCATTGCTATATGAAAAACTGAAGAAGTGTCTTCTGTGTCTGCAAAAACAAATGAAAAGCGTTGACAGAATATCTAGAAGACATCATTGATGTAGCAGAAAACAAAATCTAAAAAAAGTTATCAAATTAGATTAGAATCATCAGTAAAAGAGAAGATTGGTAAGACAGTGGGGTTGAAAATGAAAAATACTGTCCAAAAAAAACTATAAGAAACTGAAAAAGCATCCAAAAATATCCTTAAAACGTGAACGGTGTCATTAAAATACATGCAGAAGATCTGTGAAATATACACAAAATTGTGAAAGTGACCAAAAAAATCCAAAAGTATGTATCTAAAGAAAAAAAAATCTGTAAAACATTCCCCCAAAATAATAAAATAGTGAAAAAATAATAAAAAGCTTCATACAGCATACAGAAAACAGTGGTAGTTTAGGGGAAAATAATCAATAAAATATCTGAGAAATACTGCAAAAAAATACCCAAAAGGAAAAAGTGAAATATTCAGAAATATCACCAACGTGAAAAATGTGAAAAATTAAATAAAACATGACAAAATTTTTCACCGTTTTTGTTCTTTAGGTGAAAATAAAACTTGAACCGTAAACAGGCCGGTTGTTCGTCGTCCATGAATTCGTCTGAAAACTCCTCAAACTGCACCTTTAAAAATCAACAAGCTTAAACTTTAATACATAAAATGAAACTGAATTTATTGAAATAAAGGCTGAAAAACAAACAAATTCCTGCAGAAGAGACGGAAACAGTCGCTCTGATGCGTTTTATTGTTTTATTGTCATTTCAAGCCGATTCCTGAACACGAGGATTCATTACAAACATCCACATTTACAACAGACGGACGGAGAAGTCGAGCAGATCTGAAATAAACGAGGAAACCGGTGAAGGACACAACGGCCTTCGTTAAAACAAACGAAGAAATGAAGTGAAACCATCGACTGTGTGGAAGAAAATCGTCAAACTGAAGGAAAAAAAAAAAAGCAGCAGGAATTAAACCTGAACTCTTTGTCTGCTGGTTCTGGGCTAAAACATGCAAAACCCATAAATGCTGAAATGTGAGGAGATGCAGAATAAAACCATTAAAACATCTTTTATATGTGTAGATCTAACGTTAAATCAACACCAGATATTGTGAAACTGTCATTTACATACAGAACAAAGCTCATCACACCTCAACTAGAATCACTTTCGCTTTAAATACTCAGCAAACCGACTGAGACTCAGATTATCGTCTCGTACCTTTGATTACATTTTTCGCTTTTCTCTTGTGCAACAATAAAAACTCTCCACGAACCAAACTTCACTTTCGTTTCAACACTTTTAGGAGCTCCGACGAGGTTCCAAAGCGATCCCGGATGACAGCCGACCAGAACTGGTTTCCTTTCAGCTCCAAGTCCAGACGTCCTGCAGGGAAACAAAGCCCGGAATCAAACTGAAAGTCCAGCTCAGGAGGAGGCCATTGGGTTCTTCTGCTCTGGTTCTCGGGTCAGAAAGACGCTCGGTGACTCTCAGCTCACTCACTTAAAGACGTCTTTGTTTTAGCAGCAGCTTTCGTCTTAACTAACACTTGGTTGAATCCGTTTCCTGTGAGTGAAAACTCAACGGTTCTCCATCCCAACGTGGATGTTCTTTGACACCATTCCAATCTGAAACCGGCTCCTTGAGATGTTTTGTGGAAACTCTTCGACGTTTCTGTGATTAAAATGCTGATTATCCACCAACAGCTCATCCAGCTCAGCAGCTGTCAGTCCGGTCTGGTCCGGTCCGATCCTCGTCCACCAGACGGTTCTGTCTTTTCAAACTCAGCTGTGAGATCTCAGATGATTTATTTTTTTCTATCAGGATCCCCCAAAGTTCTGTTTCAGTTTCAAGAGTCGAGTTGATTAAAGGCCGTTCGTCTCAGAGTCCCTTTAACGTCATTCCTCCTTAAACAAACTTCTCCAGAAAGAATTTTTGTTTTTCAGTCCAGTGAAGCCGAACAGAACCGATGAAAGACACGTCAGAGGATTCAGAAATACAATCAGCATCCGTCGGCATGTCGGCGCCACATCTGAAGAACTGCAGCAGAAGTTAGAAACGTGAACCTCCGTCTGATCAGAATCCTAAATTAGAGTAAAATTAGAGCGTCGGTTCAGTCCGATCTGTACGGTTCCGTCATTCGGAGCGTTTTAAAACCACACGATGTTAAAAATCAGCTGAAACTAGAAAACGGAGTTAAATTAATAATGAAAACCACCTCGGTTCTGACTCAAACCCGAACCGGGCTCTGCTCAGAGAACATCGTCGGGGTTTTCCTGGACCGGCGTCCTGGTCTTGCGTCGCGGCCGCAGCGTGCTGAAGCAGGACGAGGCGGTGAGGGCGATCCGGCTCAGGCCCACGTTCAGGCAGTGGACCTCGGAGGTGACCGGAACCTCGGCGAACAGGGCCCGGTCCCGGGACAACGGCATCGCCCCGCCGTCGCTGCTCTCGATGTCCTTCACGATGTTGAGGATCTCCTGACGCTCCGCCTGCCGGGTCGTCCCCCGGATGTTCAAAATGGCCGACACGTGCTTCTTCCTGAACGGGGACGACAGATAAAGACATAACGATTTTGACTGGAGATGACCCGATCGAGCAATTTGGACCCGACTGATCCCGTTACAGACGTGACTTGTGGGTACCTGACGTCTGGAAACTCTCGGACAAGAACTCCAACTTCCATCTGGATGGAGGGAACGTCCTCCAGCTGGATGATCTCAGAGATGTGAGACAAAGCGCTGTCCAACCAGCTGGACGGAGACTCCTGCAGAGACGCCAGAACCACACCAGAACCCCATCAGAACCAACAGAAACATCTCTAAATCACGCTGCTACAACTAATGTTCAGTTTGTTTATTTTAAAAATGCGTCCAAACCACAAAAAATGTTGCTTATGTGAAGAAAAGCTAAAAAATCTGCTCTTGAAGTAATCAAATATTCAGTTTACCTCAAAAAAGCATTAAATTTGCTTTTTTTAGGCACCGAAATCTGAAAATATTTTGCATTTTGAAACTAATTTTGACTGAAAAATGACTAAAACCAACAACTGACATGGTTTTAGATGAACTTTCTGTTAATCGTTTCATTATTTTGCTGCTTTCAGGTGACTATTAAATGGCTTTTTTCAGAACTTTTGATTAATAAAAGACTGAAACCATCGACTAAAGTAGTTGCTGATTGTCTTTCTGTTGATAAATGAAAACGAGCTATTTCAGCTACTTGTCAAATCAGGTTCGAGCCACCAGATGGCGCTGTTGGACCTCCGACACTGACCAGGTCTTTGAAGAGGGCTTTGATCTGCCGGCCTTCGTCCCTGAGCCGCCCGGCCATCCTCTTCCTCATCTTCATGGAGGTGCAGATGATCCGTCCTCGCATCACCGACCTCAGGTACTCCATCACCACCCGGCGGTGGACCTCGGCCACCAGCAGCTGAGGAACCAGAGGAACAACATGATGGACCTGCGGCAGCTCAAACACATGGCTCTGGGGGTTCTGGTTCTGCTCAGTACCTGGTATGGAGGGCTGTCCATCCTGTGGTACTTCTTGAAGTCCTCCTTGATCACAGCCTCGATCTGCTCGTACGCCTCCGTGTTGCTCAACCACTTCCTCTTGACGAGACGTTCGAAGAACAGCTGGAAACCCGAACACAGACTCTGTTTAGCTTCCAGGACGTTATTTATCGGACTCATTAGAACCTTCTGTGTCTAATGTGGACTCATTTAAAGCTGAACCGAGACACGAGACAGAATCTAAACCAAGTTAAACTTTAACAACACAAACCTGAACAGTTAGATTTCATGTAAGAAAACTCAAAGAGATTTAAACTAAAATTTAACACAAACCAAATGCATGAGACAACCTACGACAACCTGGTGAACTAGGATTTAAACTAACATGAACTAACCTGAACTTTAAACTAGTCTAATCTAAACTGTACTAAACCTAATGTAAGATAACCTAAACTAACCAACTAACAACCCACATAACTATGTCAATTTGAATAAATCTGAACTATAATCTAAACTAATTTGGTGTAAAATACCTGAAGCTAACCTAAACTTTAAGCTACACTCATCATAATTCAAATTAAACTTTAATATTAACTAAACTGAACTTTAAACCTGTTTAATCTAAACTGAACCGTACAAACATAAGACAACCTAAACTAACCTAAACTCAATAATAAAACAACCAAACTAAACGTTTAACCACACCACTCACATTTAAACTAAACTATAATAGAACCAGATTCTACTGTAAACTATAAAACAATTCTTAAACTAACCTAAACTGTACGATAAGATAATCTAAAGTAACCTGGACTAGATTATAAATTAATCTAAACTGTGCGATTAAAGCAGCTGATGTGAGAAAACCTAAACTCTGAAATAAACTAAAATTAAAACTATACAACTTAAATTTAAACTCATCTAAACTATAATTTAATCTAACCTGCTGTAAACTCAGACTTACTCAAAGTAAACTTAACTACAACCAAAGTTAACCTGAGCTTTGTATCGTTCAGGTTTAGATTATTTTAGGTGTTGTCATAGTTACGGTTAGTTTAGATCAGACTAGTTTAAAGTTCACAACTTAACTTAACAAGAAAATAACGTAACAGATACAAAACAACCGCAGCTCTCGTCTGAATCAGTCTGTTTGTAGAGCTTCTAAAGTTTCTCTCATTTCTGTTTGTCCTCAAACACTCTTGGAATAAACGAAGGTTAAAGATTAAGCTGAACTGAAAAGCTTTATTGAAACAGACAACAGAGGAGCGACCAGCAGGTCCGAGTGGTGAAGATCAGAACTCGTCACCCTGATGTGCAGGTAGAGGCGCTCCGACAGAACTCGGACCCCCTGCTGGACGATGTGATCCAGACTCTTGTTGGCTCGGCGTAGAGAGTCCTCGCTGACCGACGGGTCGCACTGGGCGCAGCGCTGCACGAAGCCTCTGCAGACGCACAAACAGACACACAAAGTGTCATGATTTACACGACCAGAACCCGCTTTGGTTCCTCAAACGAAGGCGTGTTCTCACATTGTGACTGTTTAAATACACTCCACACGCTGAAAAGAAAAAGTGGTCCTATACAAACCAGCCGGTTGACGTTTAAACTCAAAGGAACAAAGAGTGAAAACCCAAAGTTTACTTTAATCAATGGGAGGTTTTCCATTAAAGGAACTTGAACATTGTTGGAACCTTCTGGAACCAACGTTCATCACCATTTTCATTCTGGACTCGTCAATATGGAGCCGTTCTGATCTAAACAACAAGAAATCATGTTCATGTGAGACTAAATAGCTTCTCCAGGTCTGTTGTTCCAGCAGTGGACTCGCTGGCTGACAACACAAGCTGCACCACAGTGAGCAGGAGGAGGTCGGGGTGGATGTACAGGGTTGGTTATGAAGCCAAGTGAACAGACTGCGGCACTTGTTTAGATAAAAACTGACTGATGTTGATGCATCTAGACTTTATTAAGGGGATAAAAAAGTCCTACTCTAGGGTTGGTACTTCTACGTGTCCCTGAATAACTGCTGGTGCTGGTTTTGACATTAATTAACAAAAGTCAGATGACAACGAGTGTCGTTTTTCTGCTCCCTTGACGTCCACCAACAATGGAAAATTCAGCATTACGACCTGTACAGATGTGGCGTTTACATGTACAGGAACTAAGCCCTAATCAGCTGTTCCGGTCTTCTGTTTCCATTGTGTTGTATCATTCACCAGCTTCAACAAATCAGAGTGCAACTGAACAACAATAAATAGTAGGAAACAGTAAATGGAACAATACAGGTTTGGTATGTCAGCCCATGTAGAGAGTTTTACCTCGTTTATGGCGATGTTAGACATACGTATATACATCAGCATCAGTCAAAATGAGTTGGAAAATATGATCAGATATGGTTTAGTTTCTGTGTTTGTACCTGAACGGGGGACAGCAGTTGACCAACGCGATGGTTTTGGAAACGTATCCGTCCTCGTTGTCGCCGAACATCCCGCTCTGCATCCCTTCGTGGAACATCTCGGCTTTACGCTGGAAGCTGCAGCAAAAGAACGTCATGAACCTCAAAACAGATCGTAAAGATTAAACGGTTTGAAGGTTTTACATCATCAATACTGAATGTCGATGGAACTATTGAAAATGGCGTCCCACAAGGATCTATTATAGGGACGCTACTTGTTTCTAATCATATTAATAATCTCTCAGAAATTTGTTTTAATTGTTGTGTTCAGTTTTTTGCAGATGACACTTTTCTTTACACATTTTTCTCGATATGAATAACTGATATGAATCTTGTAGCTTTTATGCTTCAGGTTTTTAAATGTTTAAGCTTAAAATTCTCTCCTGCAGCCTGACGTTGGATTAAGTCTGGTTTAAATGTTGTTAATTTTTCATTTCTGTCTTTTTAGCCACCTTTTTGAGTGTTTAATCTTATTTCTGTTAATTGATTCTGTTTTTTGCTATGTATTTTACAAATTTATATTTTTTATTATTTTATTTTCATATTCTATTGTTGATTTTTTTAATCTAACTGTTGAGCAGCGCTCCGTTCTGTCTTGTTACTGGTTAACAGTCATCTCTGAGGCACTTTGAACTGAATGTCAAATACAAACATGGACTGATTGATTATTACAAGTGAAACTCTCTGCAATGAAAGATGTTTTGAAATAATAATAATTAAAAAAACGTTATTACATTAGCGGTAGTTTGGTTCCAGATGTTTTCTCTCACTTTGCCTTGAATTTTACAGATGCATTTATATGTTTGGGTTGAGTCTGAATTAATTAACTATGAATTAATGTTTAAATATATTGTGTGTATAAAAAACCCAATTAAGAACACTGGTAACATTAGCAACAGCTATAAATTAGCACTAATATACTGAAAGTGCCATCTCTATATTGTATAAAATATATTGACGTTATAAATAAATGCAATAAATACCATTATCATGACACGTTTTACTGGTTAATTATTTCAAATTGTGTCAGATTCATTATCTCCTTTACATTTATTGTGATTCTCTTCTTCATCGTCACTACTATTAATTCTCTTTCGCTCTTGGAAAACAGATTCTTCGTCCCAACATGGCTTTTATTCTGTGGCTAATGTTCGTTGTCGTACCTGTACAGGAAGTCGGCGAGCCCGTTCAGGCTGCACTGAGCCACTCTGGAGCCCAAACTCCTGTTGATGGAGGCCGAACGCTCCAGATCCACCTGCAGCCGCTGGAACACCAACAACAGGGTCAGTAGGACATCGATTATATAACTGTCAACAACAACAACAACAACAATAATAATAATAATAATAATAATAATAATAATGATAATGTTTTATTTGTAATGCTGATCAAATGATTGGACCAAATTGCAGTTTAGTTTTTTAATGGTTTTATTTGTTTGTTTTCTTGCGTTTGAATGTGCTAAACTAACAAACTGACTCGTCCTTGTTATTCTGACTTTGGCCACCAGAGGGCAGCAGCCGCCTCCACTGGAGACCAAACCGTGTGTTTGTGTGTCTGTGAAGGAGGAAGTGTTTGATGTTGACTTTGGCTGCGGTTGAAGGACGGACGAGGAAAACAATCGCTGTACAATCAGTGAGCGGAATCCAGCGTTACGTAACCCCTCGCTCCGGCCGCCGCGTGTGAACCACCAGGAAGCGGCGTTCAGATGCGGTAGCCACGGCGACACAGGTGCGTTACCTGTATGACAGTCTTGGCCAGAGTGATCTGGTACTCCTCGATGTGCAGCATCTCCATCCACCGCTTCTCCTCCTCGTCCAGGACCTGACTGAGCTCCGTGGTCACTTTGGCCTGAAACAGGGAGGAGCCGGGCGGCGAATCAAACACACCTCGTATTAATTAACATCACAACACTGTTAGAGCAGCTTCACTGAGTCAGATTTTAAAGGTAACAAGGAATGGAAGAATGGAGCTGACAAAGGACGTGGACATCACAGAGTCAAAGCACCACAATGCACAATATGACACCACAAAGACACAAAACAACACAAAAGAGACACAAAATGGCACTAAAATGGGCATAAAACAGCAAAAAGATATAAAATGAGACCACAAGACACAAAACGTGACACTGCAGAAACATAAAAGAACCTCAAAAAACATAAAATGACAACAAAGAACTACAAAGCGGTAAGATACAGACAAAAAACGACAACACAAAGACTAAAAACGGACATCATAGTGAGAGAAAATGAGCCAAAAGTCACAAAATGACACAAAAAACAGAAAACAATCCCACAAAGACACAAAAGAAATTTAAAATAAACTGACAATGACACAAAAGAGACTAAATGACTTGAGAGGGACACAATAAAGGTGTAAAAGACCCAAAATGACACCAAAGAGGACGTAAAATGAAGTTTAAAGAGACACAAAAGAGACATAAAAACGCCTGAAAGAGACAAAATGACGCCAAAGTGATTCAGATCTCAAACAGGCCACGCCCTTAATTATGCACAACTTTGAGCACTGATACAATTTAAATGGACGAATTGTTTAAAAAACAACCAACTGCACATTCGTCATTAACTGAGAAATTAGCTCTAAAGACCAAAACTGTTCTTCATTCCAGGCTGTAAACACGTTTGTTTCTGCTGTGAAGTTGGACATTTTAACATGGAGGTCTCTGGGGACCGACTCCGCCTCCAGGTGGACATTTGAGGAACTGCAGTTTTTAACATGTTGGGAGTTAGTTTGTTGTTTTCTCACCCGGACGGAGTTCAGACAGTCGAGTTCCAGTCGGTCGACGGTTTCTGAAGGCAGCAGAGGGCTGAGCTCCGAGCGACTGAACGGACTCGTGATGCAAACCGTCCCCAGGACATCTCTGAGACAACACAACAACAAAACGTCAGAACAAACAAACACATCAACATGGATAAAACTGGTTTAGTCAATAAGCACAAGTAGATCTGACTGTTTTTCTGTAAAGCAAGTAAAGAACAAATACAACCAGTATTCAAAGGTCAACAACTGAAAGTTAACATCTTGTGTTTGAAGGCCGATGTGTGTACCTGTTGTAGATGTTGTGCAGCCAGTCCAGCAGCGAGTAGATGTCGGTGATTTCCAGCTGGTTGTCGGTCATCTCCTTCAGTCGCCTGGCAACCGCCTGGTGGTAGCTCTGCACGTACACCTGGCAGGTCAGAGGTCAAAGGTGAGAGGACGCCGAAGGTTGGTGCAACAAACTGGAGGTCAATCCACAGAGTTACTGAGATGTTTCACCTGAAGATGACCTGATGCTCTGTCAGGATGGATGGTTGGACGACTCCCTTCCTTGAACCAACTCTTTAACTTTGTACATCTGTTCACTTAGCTTCATATTTAACTCTGATCCCTAGAATTCATCTTCATATGTCACTAAGTTGTTTCCCCAATTATTTGTTTTTTGTAATGATGTTTGCCTGCACCACATTTCTGAGCAGGAGGAGGTTGGGGTGGATGGAGGGTGGATGGAGGGTGGATGGAGGGCGTACCGAGAGACGCCTCCCACAGCAGAAGTCAAGGTTCACGACCAGAACCTTGTCTGTGGTTCAGGCAACAAAAGGTCGTTTTTAATTGCAGGAACTTGTGGATTGTTGAAGAGCTGCCAGAACCTTTGAGAATGTTCCAACTGCAGGAACCCTGGAGAAGCTGTGGGCTGTTTTCAAGAAGAAGAAAAGTCCAGGGGAGGCACATCGGAATGGCTCTACCTATTGTGGAGCAGGTGCATTTTCTCCCAACAAAGAGACCTGAAAGAGTTTGGAACATGAACAAAGGTTTGGGATTCCCTTGAACGGCCTCCAAGTTCCTGCAGTGGAAAGACGCCCAACCTGGCTTCAGCTGACCTCAAACCTCAGACTGGTTTGGTTCTTGGTAAACACTTTCTTTTCCCCGCGAGAATAAAGCCAATCAAAGTGCATCACTAATGAAGGTTTTCCAAGAATAAATTCTTATCAAACCAATGGCGCAACCAGGGTGCCACCTTAAGGAACCAGCCAGCGTTTCTCCCAAATCTGTAGAAGAACCATTAATACTGGATCCCAACAAGTAGGGATGGTCCAGTATGATCCTAAAGATTAGGATGGGGGCGGATCTTTGCTTTTTTTTTTAACTTACAGGTACCATGAAGAAAACTGGTCTTCTAGAGACATACTTTCTGCCAACTTTAAGGTGTTTCTCAGTCGTGGTCCTATACCTGGAAGGACTGGTATTCTTCGGGGTAAATGGACACCACGTTCCTCTTGGCGGCCCCCAGGTCCTCCACCACTCGGGCTCGGAGTCGGTCCAGGTATCCGTCCAGCTCTCCGGCCGTGAACTCGGCTCTCTGAGGCAGAGAACCGTCGGCCGCCTCCTCCACGGCCTCCTTCCATCGCTGCTTCAGCTGCCGAGGCCTCGGGCCGCCGGCGGCCGGCGCCTCGCTGGTGGCCCAGGCTTTGTCGGCTTCTTCCTCCTGCTGCAGAACCTGAACACAGACGGGGAACTTTTAAGGAAAGTCTGCATAAATTATGATTCATACATTTTCAGTGGGTTGTAGTTGCGCTCAGAATTTCAGTATTTTTGATTTATCTTTTCAGAAACTCATCTTACAAGTTCCCATCAGTATTTCTTCATTCCTGTCCTACTTCTAGTCCAGTCTATAACATGTTCAGCGCTGTGTTCCAGCCTCTATTAAAACATGTTCTGTTGTATATTTCTCAGGATATTTTTAATCAGATCTGTGGTAGACAAGCTGGAGTTTGGTGATAAACCTCATAAATGGGACATTTTATTAAGTCAACACTTCTTCTACGTGGGTCAAACATTCCCGTCACCTCTCCATCGTTACCACATCTGTTGCCATGGCAGCAGCTCACCTGAACCACCAGGCCCAGGTTCGGTCCGGCGGTCGGCGACCTCAGCGACTCCCTGACGACGGCCCACAGCTCCTTCTGCAGCTCCTCGTACAGCAGCTCCACGTCCTTCGCCTTCCTGCGGCCGCCGTCCTTGACGCTCGGGCTGGCCACGTCCTCCGGCTGGGCGGCGCCGCCCCGGTCCGACTCGTTGCACTCCTGCTCCAGCTCCAGGATGTGGGTGTCGGCCAGCAGCAGGTCGCGCTTCTTCACCAGCTGCAGGATCTCCAGGACTGTTGGAGACAAAACGCAGTCGTTCACGTGAAGGTTTCGACCCTCGTTTTCCTGCATCTGTAACCACCGGAGTGTGTCAACATCAGCTTGTTTCATTCTCATCTGAGTCTAAAAGTTTGTCTTAAATAACTTCAAACACGTCCAAAGTAGCACAGATTTGTCAAAATTGACTCAAAGATTGGCCCAAGTAACAAAAAACTTCCAAACTGGCACAAGAATTGAATAAATAACTCAAAAAAAAATGTCCAAAATGACTTCAAACTTGTTCAAATGTGCATAAAACAACTTTAAACGTGTGCAAAGTAAAAATAAAATTCTCAAAATTGGCTCAAAGCAGCAAAACAGTCCAAATAAGGAGTAAAAAATGGTCCAAAATTACCTGAAAGTAGCTCAAAATGACTCAAAACATTTTTGAGTCGTAACAAAATAACATGGACACAAAGTTCATCGTTAAATGTTTGATCTTCAAACAAACTTTTCTCTGAGTCTGAAGCTGCATCAAAGCGATCAAGCAGATTCTCCCTCTGCGACCAGAAGAGTGTTTTATTCTCTGATTGTTGTTTTGTTGAATAATTCATAGAAGTCAAAGCCGAGAGACTGATGAAGAAAGATGTGTCCTGTTCTGTAAATAATCCTCAGAGAGACGGAGAAGAAAATAAAACCTCCTGGATCAGTAAATAAATGCAGCAGAACCAGAGACCAGAGGAGCCAGTGGTTGGAGATACATCCAATATGGTGGAACATCTTTCTACATCTGATGGTGGAACATCTTTCTAAACTCGTCCAAAATGACTCATGATCTGAAATGGCTCATAAATATTTGTAACCATTTTCAAGTCATTTTGCAGTCTTTTTGAAGCATTTTGGACCATTTAAAGCTTGTTTTTGGACAATTTAATAATACTCAAGTTACTCAAGACAAGTTTCAAATTATTTTGCACAATTTTAGGCTCAGAAAGTAGAAGCAGAGACTCAAAACCGTGCTAAAAACAGTCCAAAATGACAAAATGCCTGCCTGGCATTGGTCAAATTGTTCGTAATGAGTCAAAATGACCATTTTAAACCAATTTCTAGTTATTTTTGAGTCATTCTGGACAATTTAATGTTACTTTGGACAAGTTTAAAGGTATTTTAGACAAGTTTTTAAATCATTTTGGACAGTTTCAGATTGTCTGAGAGGAAAATCAAACCTCCTGGATCAATAAATAAATGCAGCATGGATCAGAACCAGTGAACAGAGGAGCCGGTTGTTGGAGATTCATTCATTTCATATTCACATTTTTTCTTGGAAAATCCCTAAAACCAACTTTAACGATCAGTTCATCCATTAAATGTAAAACCGAGATTCTTCATTTCAGCTCCAGTTTCTTAATAAATAACCCGTCGGGTCGGATAATAGGAAATAAAACCCGCCGCTCTCGCTGATTAGCATGAACAGCTGCTCATCACTCGGCTGCTCCGGAGGAGGGTTCGTTTGATTCCAACATCAAAGCAGCCCTCAGGGAGGCGGGCGGTTCCGACAGAACCCGATCCTGGTTCTCCAGCGGTCCTGAGAGGCTTCAGCTCTTTGATTTCCCAACATTTAACAGACAAATATCCATAAACATGCTCAGTTCTCTAAACGCCAGGTTCACGGGGGTGGAAGAAGTACTCGGATACTTCAGAGACCAACAAAGTAAAAATACTACATCCTCCATTTTTAATCCTGTTTGAGTCAGTAAAGATGCAGCAGGACCAGAGGAAACGTATTTGTCGTACTGTGGTTTATTATCTGACTAATTCTGATGTAGCACTGTACTGTTGGTAGCTACAGCGGTCCTCAACATAAGGCCGGGGCCCTCCAGAGGGTCACCAGGACAGTGTAAAGGGTCAGGAGATGACTGAGTGTATGTGTTGGACTTTTATTTTCAGCCAAAACCCTCTGAACTAAATGCGGCTGTTTGATGAAAATGATTTTGGGTTTAGCGTCCGTCCATAAATAACAAAACATTGTCCTGATTGTCCCAAAAGTTGTTGATAAAGAACAACTAATGTGATTTTAGCTGAATTCTGAATAGTCAAACACTATTACGAATACGGTCAACAATCAGACCAATGATCCAACAAACAGACCAACAAAAACAGTCCAACAGACAGACTAACAGTCAATACCAGTGACCGACAAATGGACCAACACAAACTCTAAGAAACAGACCAACAATCAGTCATAACAATAAATAAACCAACCAGACTGGACAAAAATCAAACCAACATTACAATAAAAACAGTCCAACAAAGAGACCGAAAATCAGTTCAAAAGTCCAACCAACAGACCTATAATTAGGCCAACAAAAGTCCACCAACAATTAAATAAACAATCTAACAAAAAGTCCAACAACATGGTTAATAATCAGAGTAATGGTCCAACAAACAGACCAACAATCAGTCCAAAAGATGCACCAACAAGATGGTCAAAAACCAACAAAGAGACCAACAATTGGTTCAAAAGTCCAACAGAATGGTCAATAATCAGACTAATGGTCCAACAATCAGACCACCACAGGTCGGTGTGTAACGACCAGACTGGTCCGTCTCATCGTACAGTGCAGCCAGTTTACTGAGTTTACTGTCAGACACACAAACAAACTGCTCTGAGGTCAGAATGACGTCGTTCAGGGAGGACCCTCCGACTGTCACCGCTGTGATGTCACACCGATGACATCGTCCGCGCTGACGAGCATCGACGTTGACGTCTGGTCGTTATCTCACCGTTTACGTCTTGATCTGGTGATTCAGAGACGTTCTACTGTTCTGCTGTTTTATTTTCTCTTCAGCGTTGTTTCTTGTGGAACCAGCTCCCTCGGCCCAGCGAGTCTCGTGGGCGCGACGCCTCGAGTTTCCTCTGAATCCACCAGAAGTCACAAGTGTTTACAGGCGATGTGAAGGTGGAGTGAAGAGGAAGCGAGGATGACACACTGGCAGCAGCAGCCCAGAGGAAGATCATCTCTATAAACAGAACAATGTGAGCGGAACAACTGGGCTCAGCAGCTCGCTGTTGTTGGGTCGGCCGGAGGATACGGGCCGCGCTCTGCAGCCGCCACAGCTTTATCAGCTTTATCAGCTTTATCAGCTTTATCAGCTTTATCAGCTTTATGAGCTGATTTTGTTGAAGAAGTGACGTTTTGAATTAACTGATGAAATAAAACCGCTTCGTAGATTTAATTTAAAGTTCAGGAAACACATAAACTGTTTCCTCTTTGCAGAGATTTCAACCAGAAACGTGTCCAAAGCTGCGTTCAGAGACTCTCATCTAACTCGGGTTTTATAAAAACTCTGTAAGAAACTAAAGAAAAGAAAAAGCACAGCTGTGGTTCAGGCTGGTAGTTACAGAGCAGAGCTGGTTTAATAAGATCACTGGGGAGACGTTAAGACACCAGCACATAGTTCTACTTTATATCTGCAGAGACCCTCACAGACGTGGTGAGACCGACACGAAACCGGAGCATGAAGCGAAGTCTGGACCCGAAAAGAGTCCTGAGGAGGTTAATGAAGAAGAAGAATAAAGAAATGTCCTCAAACTGTCCCTAAAAGTAAAGAAATGTCCTCAAACTGTCCCTAATCACACAGAAATTGCAACACAATCCAGAAATGTCGTCACACTGTCTCCAAAAATCCAAACATGTCCCCAAACTTTCTCTAAAAATGCACAAACGCCGTCATACGGTTTGTATTAAAGCAGAAATGTCGTCATAGAGAAGAACTCTTCCCGAAAGTTGGGTTAGTTCTAAAACTCATTATGTTCTCACAAACAGAAAAGCTCACACACACACACACACAGACACACACACACTAAGACACACACTAACACACTCACACACACTAACACACACACGAACACACACACTCACAGACACACACTACTGCAGGGTGTGTCCCTGTAAGGTGATATTTCAGCACTTTTCAGACCTTCACACGACATCAGAGCTTGTAAAACAGCCACAACTACACCAACAGACACACACACATGTAGACACGACACACACACACGTATGTAGCGCGGCCTCAGACACACACGTATGTAGCGTGGCCTCAGACACACACACGTATGTAGCGCGGCCTCAGACACACACAGCTCTTATTGTTCGCCGCCGGCCTTCGGAGGAAATCTGTTCCAGCTGCTGGACGGAGCTCCGCCCACCTCCACCTCCATCGGTCCCATCAGAGCATCACAGAGTCAGGGATCCTCAGTCCTGATTGGCTCAGAGACACGGCGGCCCTCGACCAATCAGAGCTCTCCGTCTATCACCTGTGTGACGTAACGAGTCGACAGCGACAGGCGACCAGGTGGACCTTCACCTGGACGTCAGCATCCGTCTGAACGCCATGAAATCAGCAATTTAACGTCGGATCTACCTGAAGCCAGGTGAGTTTGTTCACCTGAGCAGCCACAGACACACAAACACACACACCTGTAACAGCCAGGAGCACCGTCGACCAATGGAGACGGGTTGTTGGTCGCAGTGAGGTTTCAGGACGCACCTGAACGCACCGATAACTGTTTACAGCTGAACAGAGACGTAAACAACCACAAAACAAAACGACAACAAACTGACATTAAATGGAAACGAATAAACACAAAATGTCCATGAAGTGACAGAAAAGTAAAGTCATGAGAGAGAGACGCAAAATTAACACAAATTAATGGAAAATAATTAACAGTCTAACTTTAAAAATACTTTAGAATCAGATGTGACGGATCAGCGCCATGTAACATTTAATAAAGTCGTCCAACAAGGTGAATCGAACACCTGGGTTCAAGCACCTCTGGTCCCTGAACGCCCCACGGTCCATGAACACCCCACGGT